GAGGAGAAGCTTATCAAAAACGATCAGGACTCGGAAGTCAAGCTGGCTGCAGCGGCGAAAGACCTTCAAGCTTCTAAATTACGAGAAAGCAACTTGGCTAGCGAAAACCGCAAAGTGCAGAAGCAACTTTCTGATTTATCTGCAACATCGACAGGATATGAAGATCTCGTCAGGCGCAAGGAAAGCGAGTTGGCTATCCTTCGGTCTGATAACCGTAAGTATGAGGCCGAGAAGAAAAGCTTTGACGAGCAGAAGCGATCACTTTCGACGGAGAAGGAAAACATTGCCAACAGGTTAAAGGAAGTACAGGCTGAGATGTTCGCCATGAAATCCCAGCAAGCCAATCTACAAAAGGAAGCTGCCGATGCGAAAAAACTTTTCGATGCTAGACTGACAGAAGATGCTCACGCTGAGCAAAATCGAAAGAGGCTAGAAGAACAGATTTCGACCTTGAAACAGCAATTATCAGAAGTGCAAAAAGACCTTAGCAAAGAACGACAATCTCGAGACGATGTTCAACTCCTCGCAGAACATAAATTCCGAGAGCTTAGTGAGAAGTTTCAAGAACTCAATGAGGCTAAAATCATCATCGAAAAGGAATTATACGTCCAACAAGACACTCTTAGAAGGGCAATGGAGAATAGAGTTTCTGCTGAAAAGGAACGCAACGAAGCGCGAAACGAAATCAGAAAGCTCAGAGAGGCAAAGATTGCAGCCGAAGAGGCCAGAATACAAGCCGAAGTAGTTGGAGACCGCAATGCATCACGCCTAGCCCGAGAGCGCGAAGCTAGTTTGAAGAAAGATCTTGAAGCGGAACAGAACCGAGCAAAGTACTTTGAGACTGAATGCAGCCGCCTAAATCAGCAAGTGGAAGATCTTAATAAGGTCATGATAGAGTCTGGAGATTTTGGTCTTAAGGTTGATCAAGAGAAGGAGCGACTTGAACGCGAACTGAACACTGTCCGAAGTCGATTAAATGCGTCTGAAAACGACAACCGTGCTTTACTCAACAAGCTGCAACAGAAAGGTCTCGAGATTGCCCGCACGAGCTCTAGAGCAAGTGAATCATCTAGAGGTCAGCTAATAGCAGCCCAGCGAGAGAAAGCTAAGGTCGACGAGCAGAATAAGAAGCTCAATAAACAGCTAGGCGATGTACAAATTCAACTGGCGTCTCTTCAAAAGCAAAAAGAAAAGCTGGAGCTCAATCTTGAAGATCTAACGCGTGAGGTTGAACGTGAACATATGAGTAGTAGAAACGCCGAGAAGACTTCTTCTACTATGACAACCCAGTTAGCAGAGGTAAATCGCAAATTGGAGGATGAACGACAGTTGCACTCTCAGGCTCAATCTAAAAATCGACAACTCCAATCTTTGATTGATACCCGAGATAAAGACATCATTGAGCTGATGAAAATTGTGGACCCGGAGATGCCTGCACCGCCGGTTATACAACTCGATGGTAGTTTCGATAGGAGCACATCTGAAAATCCAAACCTTCTTTCTCAACTCACTCAAAAAGTCGAGGAACTTCAGCAAAATCTCAGAGTTCAAGCTGCTGGTCGGTCGAATGCTGAAGCACAAGTACTTGAACTACGAAAACGATATGAAGATGAGTTCGGTGACCATTCCGAGTGGCACACGCCCGGTAGGGCTAAACTTGAGGAGATTGATGGCAATGATGGAACTCGGAATTCATCTCCAGCACATCTCAGAAACAAACTCAATGGCAGACCTCTGTCGGGCGCGACGCCACCTAATCCTCACTTCCCAAGCTCCGGTGACGTCGGGCATGATTCTGGACGCTCTGATCGTACTGCCGATATGTTAAGCTTCAACAATCGCATGGACCTGAAAGCTGACGTGGAAGAATTACAAAATCAATTGCAGCTATCACAAATGGAGAATCGTCATCTGCAGAGCCAGCTTGAGCGTTTTGTTCCAGGGCGAGATATATTTGAGGATAGTCCATCAGTACGCCGTGTGCACAAGCTTGAGCAAGCTAACACTCGACTTCATGAAATGCTTGATGATTCTGCAAAGAAAGTTTCCGCTCTTGAACAGAGTATTCAAACCGGAGAATTGTCATTCCGCGATGTTCAAGCCAAATCTCACGAGGAACTCTTCGAGCTCATCAACAATCAAGAAGAAAACCGACGAATTCTAATGTACGCTCACAAAGATGCATTAGTAGACCTCAACGATACGAAGAAAAATTTTGAGATTCTAAAACACACTCGAGCAGTCTTGGAGGTTGATCTCCGAGATGCTAAGTCTGATCTTGAAGAGATGACTCTGCAAAGGGATCAGGATGCGGCCAGCCGAAACCAACTTTTGCAAGAATTTGCCGATCTTCAGATCCGTTTGGATGCCGAATCCTCAAAACTGGCCGATGTTAGTTCTAGTCTTGGTCTCTATAAGAGCAGAGCAGACGAGTACTTTAGCAAACTTGAACAAGCTGAAATTGCTGTATTGAAGGCTTCTAGGGCCGAACAATTTGCCAGATCTCAAGCAAAAGAAGCGGAGGATACATGTGCCGAGATCATGTCAGAACGGAAGCAAATGGACGAAGCCATTGAAGATCTTCAAAAACAGAACCAACATTATGAAGAGAAGCTCGAGGACCTTTCCTCTGATCTCGATGCCGCAGTACAAGCAAGGAAGCGATTACAACATGAGCTTGAAGATTACCGAAGCCAGCGTGCCATGGAGATTGAAGACAAAGAATCTAGCATGGAACAGACTAGAAAGAAATACCAAGCTGAGTTTGCAACTCTCACGAATGAACTGGACATTGCTCGTGAGGAGAAGCTATTCAAACAAACGGAGAATACAAGACTTCGGGAAGAATTGGATCAACTTCGAACGAAGTGGGACGATGAGGTTATGAACAGTTCAACATGGTCTAAAGAAAAGGCTCGCCTGGAGGCCACTCTTTCGGACCTCAATACATCACGTGATGAAGCCGTCAACGCTCACAATGAAGCTCAAGGCAAAATTGTATCACTATTAGCACAAGTTCGAAGTCTCAGAACAGACGTGGACGATGCAGCTGCCGAAAGAGACATTCTTCAACGCGAGAAGCGCGGCTTACAAGCTCGTCTAGAGGAAGCTAAAGCTGGTCTCGACGACCTTGCCCGAAGCGACAGCCCTGCGCTACGAAACGCTGCTGGAATGGATCGCGAGATTTTGGAACTCAAATCTAACCTAGCACAACAAGAAGATATTGCAGCTGCTGCCATTGGCAAGATGAGGCGATCTGAAGCACTTGCATCTGAAATACAGAAAGATATTGTTGCCGAGAGAGAAATGACAGCACAGTTGAATAAGGAGAAGGCTGCGCTAGAAAAGTCACTCAAAGAAACTCAGGTCCGACTACTGGATTTGGAAACTAAAGGCTATTCAAGTGCCAGTCAAGACGTTAGGTTCCTTCACGGTCGTGTCCAAGAGGTGAGAATTTCCTTCCCGTAAGCTTAACACTATTCTAACATATGAGATAGCTCGAAGCCCAACTCGACGAGCAAGAATCCGAACGCAACAAATCACAACGTTCCGTAAGAAATGTCGATCGCACAGTCAAAGATCTTCAACAGCAAATTGACCGCAAAGAAAAGGCCAACACGCAACTTCAAGAAGATATTGCCCGCTCAAGAGATAAGGTCGAAAAACTTCTCAAGACAATCGACGAGCTTCAATCAAGCGATTCGACCAATCAACTTTCAGCTCGTAGAGCAGAACGTGAGCTGAGGGAAGAGAGAGAAAAGGCGCTGAGGTTAGAGCGTGAGTTGGAAGGCTGGAAGGCATTGAGAATGCAGAAAGGTCCGGGTGGTAGAATAAGTGCGAGTGGCACTTGGAGACCGAGTAGTGAATTTGGCTCCGAGGATGCAGGGATTGACATCCCTAAACGAAAAAGCAGTTTGAACAGGCAGGATAGCATGAGCAAGGGATTCTTGTAATTTCCCATGGTACGGTGGATGATAATGTGATGTAGGAGATCGTCGCGCAGAATGAATTAGAAATTTGTTCTCTGGCGTTTGTGACGGGAATAGTAGGAGTAGTGAAGCAGGAATAGAAGGGGTCAGTCAAAGGAATGGAGCACGGATTTGTGTATGAATTGTATGTTTTTCGTGTTAGGGGTGTATAATATCATTATGTCCTGGAACTTGTGGGATAGGATGGGCTGGAATAATACCTATGTAGACTTGTGCGTGTTATGAATGGAAGTTTTGGTTCTTTGAGAATCTTTAAAGGGCTTTATGGTCGTGGGAATGTGACTTTGTGTTTTTACTACAGACGTGATTTGTGGAAGGAATATCGAGAGATGAGTTAAAATTTAGAGAGCTTTGGGGGGAGGTGGAGTTGAATGAATACTTTCTTCCATCTTATGGAGCGTGGAGATGGGTAGTGGGGTAAGTGATTATTCGGAGGGGGTATGTGGAGACACTGAGACATTAATCTGCGTTTATTATTAGAAGAGGACTATTCGAACGGCGAAAAAGTTGAATTTTATTCTTTCAAACCACACTTAGAAGTAATCTGGCTTTGGAAATGTAGGGGTTTAATGGTAGTCGGTAAGCTGTAAGTTTTGAATGGGTGATTGAAATGCATGTTTTGTAAGATTACAATTTACATAGGTGTGAGGTTCCGTTCTATGAATTAGAAATCTGGGCGTAAAATTGTATCTAGGCTAGTATTGAATTGTGGATGATATTTGAAGAGCTGGACAAGAATCTCATCGTGGTCCGCGGATGAAGCCTTGATGTTTTTCTAGTCCCTGATCCATGACCAAAACTATCCCTCAACTTTTTTTTTAGAAGCGATGATGATACACTTTCGCAACTTGTGGAGTTTCTTTTGAAGTTGTCCCGGTATACCCAATACCCTAATTATCCACTCCCAATGCTGCCATTATCTCATAGTGCAAGTGGAAAGTCATATTCATACCTATTCATACGGTCAGCTTTGATAAAATGGACCTTGCGGGTAGGTTCTTTAGGAGGTTCTTACATTCGAAATTCTTCTGAATTATCCGGTTCACAGAAAATTGGGATTGGCGCCTGTCTTCGCTTTCTCCACTCTACTTCCCCTCCTTCGATCCGCTCGTGATAATCTCTCGCATGTATCTTCTCCGCAGCTACATCATTGAGCCATTGTCTCGTCTGATGTTTGTATAAGTACTCCGCACATATCATGTCTCCTGCGTCGGCGCCACCCGGATTGAGAGATTCCAAGAATAGAATCTCGTGGAATCTCTCTTGAAGATGACACTCCACGCAACCATGAAAAGCCACACGCTTTTTGTCATTGGGGTGAGTTTGAGTCTTTCCAAAGTAAGGAAATGAAATAGCAGTCATGTAACGACGGGCAATCTCATCCTCGCGTTCGAATCCCACGTAGGCATTGTGTGGCGCAAGATATCTGTCCAATACTGGGCGAGCAGCGAATGGATGCTTAGGGATAATTCGTGTCGTGAGCGCAGCAATAATTGTCTTTCGTTGCGGCTCATTGACATTCCATCGACGTATTCGACTTCACCCAGGGGGACAAGAAGCTGACGCTCAGAGCTCTTGTACTTATAGTAGCCGTAGGTACCTGGAAGCGTTCGTAACTTTGGTGGATTTCGCACCTCGGGCCGAATTTGGATTGCAGAGTTGGGACGCTGGAGTCGCATGAAGTCGACATATGGGATGGATCTAAGAGAGATATCATTCCGGAGACAATAACCGCAAGCTCGCTTCCCTTCAAAGAGTGATAAAAAGGCACCCATCATTTCTTCACCATCCAAACTGTAACTTAATTAACACGTCTCGATGCCATTGGAGGGATTTCTGTACTTACTATGCGATTCTTTTGCAGAATACGCATTTAGGGTTTGTTAAGGCATGGTGCAACTGGAGCAGAAGTATATGGGATCCCACACCAGTACATAAAATGGCGCGCAAGGCCTCTGGAGCATTTTCCGAGATTTCTTGCCATTCCAGCGTATCATCAACTGCCAGCCTGCAATATTGAGAACAACGGCGAATGTTGACCAGAGTTTCAATGTCAAGATACTTGAGGCTGCGCTGAAGGATCTCCATTGGCATTTTGATAAGGAGGCTAATGTTGCTAGCACTCTCGGCGCGAACCATAGGGTACTTAAAGAACTTGATAGTCTTGCTATCGAGCGGGCACTTATCTCTTAGCTCTTTACTTGAGATGAAAGGCTCATATCTTTCTTCGGATGAATGTGGATCTCGGGAACAGCAGGTACAAGACATCCTGTGATGATATTAGTTCTTCGACTACTTCTTGGATTTATACTGCTTGGAAAATACTCATGCTGCCCACAGCATGAATCTCTGATGGCAGCGTAATTCTCTTGTAGCTGATGGCACTATACCATGTGCTCAGAGTTTTAGAGCTTCATACTTTCGGGCTACATGATTATTGAACTGGGAAACATACGTTGCTGTTTTCTGAAGGACTCTTGGATTTTAAATCTTAATCTTTGGGTGGAAGACGAATTTGTTATGCCAAGACCAACTTAGGAGCAGGACATCTGATCGAATGGATACCAAGGAAGAGGATGGGTAGGTCAATTATGATGAACAAGTAAGTAAAATTCCAAATTGGCTTGAGTACTCTCAATATTAAAGTGTGCATGTAGGAGTAAAGGAGTCAGCAAAGCTAAATAAGATGCTGCAGAAGAATTTGTAGAAAAGTCCATTGACTGTATTGATTGACTGTACGAGAACCAGGAGGAGGGAGCCGAGGGAAGATCTAGGGAAGATCTAAACATGGACCGTGCACAATAGGTTAGTTCGAGGTTACTAGGTAGGTTACCAACTCGGAGATTTAATTGCCCGTCTGTGCTCAAAATGCAGGAGGTAGATCACACTAATGCACGCTAGTATCAACCATATCTCAACCTCCTTCAAGATTTCTATACATGAGGAGATGGTGGTACAGATAATCTTTGATTGATTGCATTTCCCGTCCAGTTCCAGTCATATTGTTAACCCCAGAACCATTACATCAATTCTTTTATATGTATATACATCATGTTGCTAAATTTCAAATGGCACTGCCTAGGTTATAGGTTATCTCTATTTACGGTGGGTTTATCAGAGGATAGGTGGAATAAAACATCAAACAATCAAGATGCACAATATGTGAATACAATGGTAATTATCTTCTGGTAGTTGTTAGGCTAAAAAGATGTCTGGGAAACGAACTATCAGCAAGGAAAACAATGCACACCTTCCACTTGTATAATAGATGTCAAGATATGTGCATCTAAACACATTCATCTTATACTCCTGATATCGGACAAGTGACTCTGGCATTTATTAGTACTGGCACAGTTTTCTTCTCTGAGAATATGGCCAGCAACGTTTGTCTTTGTTACTTAGAGATTGTTACAGTCTTTGTTATTGTTACTACCTAGCCCACCTTCTTTAATCTTGACCATTTGACTTGATATCATGTCAATTGGGGATCAGACCATTTTCCCACTTGTTTATCCATCGGGAAGAGAATAAAAGTCTTCCTGGATCCACCAGTTCATGCATATATGCAATTGATAAGGCTGAACGTGCCGTGTCTCAACAGTTTGTGGGGCAAAGGCAATTACAAAGAACAAGATACTACGCTAATCTCACATGAAAGGCCATTTATGTTTTCATCCGAACTTCTGATCTCAATAAAGAAGACTCACAAGGTACTCAAGGAGAAATTTTTAAATCTTAGTGGGGCTCCAAAGATTCATTCGAGTCTTTTGTTGAGCTCTATATTCATTTGACTTGTTGCCATGGCTCCCACAAGGAGTTTTGAATGTGTGGGATGCTCCACCTTGTTTCTTTCTTCTTTCCTGAAGTTTCTTGGGAATTTTATACTCAGTTTGTGTTTCCCTCGGAGACTTGAAGTGATCCGCCAGCTTGACAACCATCTATTGAAAGAACATTTATAGTTGATCGATTCAGGAGCTTGACTATACTGATACAAACCACCAACTACATATTAGACGTTTGATATATTCTTTACCATGTCAAACTTCATTCTGGAAGAGATTAGAGAAGCTCACGAAAATGGGGATCTAGGAACAGGTCTTCAAGTTATTGACCAGGAATTGGGTCGTCTCCCAGAAAGCTCTATCATAGAGAAACTAGTGAGATTTATTGTCTTCTTCTTTAAAACACCATTTCTCATTATCTCCTCGCTCCCTTTCTTAGCGTATTCAGTACCTCAGTCAGTCGCCTCCTTCATACTTGTACCTGGCCATATTTTGGTATCGATCCCTGGAGTTATCCAAAAAATTCTTGGGCTCGCGCTTAATCCGACACTCGCAACCTTTGGTGCCACCACAATTTTTGGAGGGCTTTTCTTTGTATTAATCTCTCTGCCGAATACCAAACTGGGACGTGGAGTGGAAGCGCTCTTTAATTTTGTCTGCTGGGCTCCTGTTTATTCTGCAGTACTGCTGCTTTTGAGCCGCTCTGAAGCCTCGCACGAACTTCTCGCTACTCTCCACGAATTCTTCATAGCTAGGCCCTGGTCAGCAGCTTTCGTCTTCCTTTTTGTCTTCAAGTTCTTGAAAGTAGTCGTCCATCTATTTTCCTACAACTTTTTCTCTAGCTACAAACTTCCGCCGCTCCACCCTTCTGTTGTACCAAGCGATGTTACAGTAATTATACCAACTGTTGGTGATTTTGCCGACGAGTTTGTCAGAACTATCGATTCGGTCCTCGAAAATCACCCAGCTAAAATCATCATCTCGACAGTCGGAACCGAAAAGCTCATACAAGCCCGCAGAGTCGTCGAGAGAATAATGAGAGAAAAACGCCTTCCAGGACGAAAGATCGAGGTTATTGCTGTTCACCAACCAAGCAAACGTGTTCAATGCGTCCAAGCTTCCCTTCAGGTCAAGACTGGACTCATTGCATATGTCGATGATCATGTCTTCTGGCCTCCTACTTTTCTCAAAAGTGTTCTCGCAGAATTTGAAGACCCAGCTGTAGGAATTGTCGGAACCTGCAAACGTGTCGTCCGCGAGCCTGGTGACAATTGGTCTGATTCTCTCCGCAATTTCTTCGCTTGCATCTACCTTGAGCGCCACAATTATGAGATCATCTCTACCTACAACATTGACGGCGGATTATGGATTGTCTCTGGCAGAACATGCTTACTTCGAACAGATATCGTGCAATCGGTCGATTACAGAAGTAAATTCCTTTCCGAAACTTTCTTGGGAGCCGGCCCAGTCAATTGCGATGATGATAATTTCAACACCAGATACATGATCAATCACGGCTACAAAACTGTGTTTCACAACAGACCAGAAGCTCGCATTGAAACAACTTTAGGCACATCAGGCGGTTGGCCCAAATTCTACGAACAGCTCCTCCGCTGGTCCCGATCAATCTGGCGCTCCCATCTCAAAACCGTCTTCATCGATGGAACATGTTGGAAAGTTTGTCCCTGGACTAGCTACGCCATGTTTGTCTCTGGACTGCTCAATATCTCTATCATTTACGATTCTCTCTTATTCATCACGCTCTTCAAATCGGATTTCTACACCGAGGATAATCATGCTGGTGCATATCTTCTTTGGGCAATCATTTTAAGTCGTATTATTAAGCCGTGGAATCATTATATGCGCCATAAATATGAGATGTGGTGGTCTGTACCAGCAGAATTCCTATTCGGCTACTTTCATGGAATCATCAGATTGATTGCGCTACTGACTTGTCGCGATATTGGCTGGGGTGGAAGAGATTTAACAGGGCTTGCACCAGCTGTAAGACGTCCATAAGAGTATTGCCTGTTCTGAACGCCATATGCGATATGGGGTGTTGGGTCGGGGTAAACAGGAGTTATCTTGCAATCGGTTTACTGAAAAGGAGTATGGGCTTTTGAAGCTATATTCGCGGTTGCTTGGGTGGATGGATATTGCTTGGGAGTGTGGGTTGTGATTCGAGTTGTAGTTGGAGTTACTGAAGGGTTCAGCGGATTTTAACGACAAAAAAGGCATTTATTTGCTAAAAGAAAATAGATATGCCTATGCCTAAGGAGCTCCCACAAAGTTCTACCATTCAAAAATTAGATAGTCTCAAAAATAAAGAGAGTTATGAAATCAGTTTGTTAGAGAGAGTCATCAAGGACAACTGTTTGTTGTTTTGCCTGTTTGCTGTCTTCTTGTCCTCTGTGGTTATTTAAGTAAAAAAAATTTGTAGTGATGTGATGTAGGTTTGCATAGTGATTCGTAGTATGAGCTTTACAGTGCATTTGACTCGTAGCATTAGACAAATAGGTTACTCTCTCCTCATAAATAGACATCATTTCTACTAACACAATGTTGCTTGTTCTCTTAATACATCATCATAACCAACATCATTCATGTCTAAAAAGTAGACAACTTGCTCTTCTTTCACAAAGCTCTATATACATACACGACACCTGAAAACTCTAGCTACAGGATATTCACTCTATAGTAACTTTCACAAAACACAAGCACACACCAAAGTCTCCCTTCTAGAAGAATCAGTTTCTTCAATCACATACTCTCCTCCTCTTCTTGTATCGTGTTTCCTGCTCATTTCCTGCTCATTTCGATCCACATATAACCATCCGAGAAGAACTACCCAGAATTACCCCTTCATAGTCAAATCATCAAACCTCATGCTCACAATCAGAAAATAACTCTGGTTGAAGAGCCCCACTGCTGGAACAATGATTCACTTGAAAGGCTTGCTAAATATGTTCACTCTAGGATAATTATCTACGTTCCGAGATTAGTCGAATCCGAAATGACTAAGCCGAAGAGCAATAAATACAGCTTTTTTTGTCCATCTAATTTCAATATTACATTTTCCATAGTTAAGCTTACAAGCTGCTGAGATTACTCGTGTTATTTACTATATTTTGAACAAATTTGTTTATATTGGTCATTGTTTTGCAGTTCTTACGACATTTACTTTGTTTCAAAAACTAATCACCTTAAAGCTTCAATACCTACCTAGGCACCTAAAACTGCCTTGCTGAATAACCGTCAATCTTCAATCCTCAACCACTTGCACATTGCTTGAACATCAAGCTCAGTCCTGTCGAATTTAGACGTCTTTAAGGTTTTTAGAACTCAACTCCCCTCTTTCATGAAAGTAATCTAACACATTCCCAAAAGTACAGTCACTTCATTTGTCTAATTGCTATTTGAGCCCCGACTAGCCAATTTTTAATCATACATCAATTCCAAATCTATTGGAACCGAAACGGATTCTGACCTCAAATATCCAACTTCTCATTATAAACAACGAATATAGTTCGCAGCCACAATGGAGATCTATAAGCCTGTAAGCTAAGTCAACTACCCCACTTTCCGACCACCCCCTCTTTTCGACCACCTCGAAAACCACACCGCTTTGAGTAATTATAAAATTTACACTTTGAATAACTCAACGATGCTTTAATCAATTAATTTGAAATTTTGATATTATCATAATTGTGATATGAAGAATAGATATACCAAAGAAGATATCGCAGAGGCTCTTAGAGCGATTACAAATGGAGCAAGTATACAAAGAGCTAGCTTGGATTATGGTGTTCCACATACCACACTTCACAATCGAATATATAATGGAGTTTCACATCAAAAAGGTGCCCAAATACTTCAAAAGTTATCTCCAATTCAGGAGAATCAACTAGTAGAATGGATATTAGTATAGGAAGCTCTTAGTACTAGCCCTATACATCATCAAATCAGAGAGATGGCAGAGCACCTCCTTATTGTACAAGAAGAGGATCCCTCACTTGGAAAGAAATGGATACATAGCTTTTTTCAAAGGCATCCTAATATTGGAACTAAGAAGCAATATCAAATCGATTCTGCACGAGTTTCAGGTGCTACATCTGATATTATTAAGAAGTGGTTCCGGAACCTCGCAATCCCTGAAATCAAGGCTATTAAGCCGGCCAATAGATGGAATATGGATGAAGCAGGTATAATGAAGGGTCAGGGTCTTAATGAACTAGTAGTAGGAAGCACTGATCGAAGATTTATTCAAAAAAAGCAATCTGGATCTCGAATTTGGACCTCTTTTATAGAATGCATTTCAGCCAATGGAAAAAGCATTACTCCCCTTGTAATATATAAGGGAAAATCAGTTCAACAACAATGGTTTCCAACCGATTTGACTCTATTTAAGGGTTGGAACTTTACCGCTACAGAAAATGGATGGACTACAGATGCTACAGCTTTAGAATGGCTGAAAAAGATCTATATCCCTCAAACTACCCCTATTCAGCCGGAAAATTCAAGACTCCTCATTTTGGACGGACACGGAAGCCATGAAACTACAGCATTTATGTTAGAATGCTTCAATAACAACATATATCTCTTATTTCTCCCACCACATACATCACACGTACTACAACCACTCGATTTATCTGTGTTCTCACCCCTAAAAAGTGCATATCGAATCGAACTTAATAAATTAAGTCTATTATCCGATTCCTCACCAATTGGAAAGCGCAATTTCCTTTCTTGCTATCAGAAGGCTAGAATAGAAGGTTTAACTATTCAAAATATCAAGTCTGGGTGGCAAGCTAGTGGTCTTTGGCCCAAAAATATGGCTAAACCTCTTATGAGTCGACTTTTGCTTGAAAATAGCAATAAAGAGGTTTTATCACTTAATCCTGAATCTGATGATGATCCTATTCTTCAATGGAATATACATTCATTGTTTATTCAATGGAAAACCCCTCAAAAAGGAGCCGATATCAGAAAATATAGAGATATAATGATTCAAGAGAAGGAGATCGATTTGCCAACACAAAGATTACTATTTCGCAAGATTATAAAAGGATTCGATGCTAAGGATTATAAACTCTTAGAGGCAGAGAATAAGATTAGAAAGCTAGAATATCAATTAGATGAAGCATTACCTAGAAAAAGGCGAAAGGTTGTGGTATCTCCAAATTCGAAGTTCGCAGGGATTAGAGCTATAAGGCGTACACAAATTGAAGCGGGAGATCGTGAAATTGAGGGAGATGATAGCTCTAGTGCTATAGAAAGTGATTCTACAGGCGATTTTATTGAAGTTCAATAGTTATTGAGTTATTAAAGTTTTAAGTGTAGATAATATGATTTTTTTAGGTGGTCGGAAACAGGGGGTGGTCGGAAAGTGGGGTAGTTGACTTATAACATGAGGCGTGATAAACCTAGAAAGTCAGTTGAAGACCTATACACCACAAGAATGTCGAGAATGTTCGCCAAAATTGACATGCAACGGCCCATAACACTCAAAGAAGACGAAATCGCCGCAGCCATCCTGAACGCAGAAGAACTCACGAAAAATTGGAATCTCCTTCGAAAAATCTTGAGCGCATATGAAGCAGTCATACGCAAGCGCTGGCCCAAAAAATCAAAGGACAAACGTGCACAACTTCTACGAGAAGTATATCCCGAGATTCAAAAACAGCATGCTCCGGAATTTGATAATCTGCGAGCTCGTTGGACTGGCGCACCCGTCAACTCGAACGGGTACCAGAAATTTATGGAGACGCCATATATCAATCTAGAAGACCTCACACAAGGCATGTTTCTGCCTCTTTTTTTGAACTCGAGAGGTCGATATTCCCCACATCTATTTGTAAATGCAGATCTCTACGCTATACACTTCGGGTTAAACATGTGGGAGATTCCAGAACCGAAGATCTATGATGGATTGACACCATGGAAACGCGCCGTCGTCTTCAAAAATCCAGATTCGGGAAAATACATCGAGTTCCTAGAGTCAAAGGAAAGATCGGATGAGGCTTATGCATCTGGCCTAGGATTCTCTCCAGGAAAAGCAATGGTGGTATTGAGAGCACAGGTTTTCACGCATCAATTCCTCGTGAAGTGTTGCTCAGTAATCCTCCATGACATTCCAACGCTTCTAGACGACAATCATGATTTTAATAACGTCACTGAACCTGAACATATCTCTCCATCCTCTTCTCAGCGGCTGAGTCTTTTATTTTCTGCAACCGAGTCTCTTTACAGACCACCGAGTCAAATCGACTTTCAAAGAATAGAAGATCTCCTTGAAATGAGACGTGCCGCAGCAGAAGACCACCTATGGTCTTTAAGGGAAGATCCTAGTTATTTCGTCGAGATGCTTGATGCCCAAGACAAAGATAATTGTTTTTCCAGCGACGAAGATGCGAAAGGATTGGAAATACTCGTCATCCTCGAATATGCATGTATTTCCTTACTTCTTTGGAACAATCTGCGGGATGATTTTTGGCACTGGCGAAATCTTGAAAGAAAGTACTCGGCAGAGATCGCTTGTGACAGGCAGCTTCCACCTGAATATGAAAGAGCATTCGTGTGCTTCTGGGACAATCTAAGCCGGGCTAGTGATTATTTGAGAATGGATATCTTAAGGCGAGAGATTGTGTTCTCAAATACCTTCTAACCCAGCGTCCTTCAAGATATACTACTTAATTATTCTTATGCCATACAGCGAGACATAAAAGCCGGAGCGCAGGATAAGCTCTTTTTTATACTGTATGAGTTGTCTCAAAATGAGGCTATTCTGTATTGCTCGCTGCCGGATCTGTTTGATGAGCTCGAGCGTTATCTGCTAGCAAACCCAGCTGAAAGGGACAGAATCATGACTTTGGAGCAGTCAATTTTATCGGACGTTGGCATTATTGCTTCGATAAGCCGGGATTTATATCTTTATCAACCTTGGGCATCAACGGTAAACCAACAACTCAAGACCTTTGATGGCACCATAAAAGCCATTACGGACTCTAAATGGAAACGCACGATGGATTTTTTTGCAAATCTGGAAACCAAAGCAAAAGACGAGCTTGCAAAGCTTGTCGAATCACCCAACTGCTTTCGCTACCCTGCAGAGAGACGCCGAAATGCGGCGAATAACCACAGAATGCGACAGGCTGAGGAGTTGCTTGATAAGGTCTGGGATCGCGTTGACCAAGCGTATCTTGAGGCTTCCGGAAATACCACATTAACTAGCGCCTTTAAGGATCTTATCTCGAACCAAAGGAGACTCATTCGAACGCCAGAATGGGTCGAGACGGCTGCCAAGCTCAAGCAGTCTCGTCAACAACGCACTTCAATTGATAACGGGCTAGTTAGTTCTTTCCAAAATGTGCGAATCGAAGAAGGAAAGAGCACCCAGTCTTTAGAGTTGGGTGACGGAACAATCAAAGCCAAAGCCCAGTCGAAGTCCCAGAAAGCGGAGCCATCTGAAGAATTTGCGCCTTTGACTGAAGAGGTTCCAGAGACAGAAGAAGATGAAGCACCGCGAGAGACAATCAAAGTGAACAAGAGGACATACCGTGTCTTTACAGCATTGTTCTACACACCTTCAGAGAAAGATCCACCCGGAGAAATTTCGTGGCAAGAATTCCTTCAAGCAATGGCCGCAGGAGGATTGAATTCAGAAGCACTATATGGCAGCATCTGGCATTTTACACAGCAAGAGAAACATACTGATAAATTGAAGAGAAGTATCCAGTTTCATCAACCTCATCCTGGGAAGCTTAGTCTTAGGACGGCCAGATTTTTTGGACGACGCCTTAATCGAGCATTCGGTTGGGATATTGACATATTCTCCCTAGGGTAGGTCGATTTTGTGACTTAGAGAGAGGTCTACATGCTAGCGGATGGATTGTTCATCATGAAGTGTATGTAAGCGTCTGCGTTGGTGATCACAGATTTTGTCATATGATAGTCACATAGCATAGGAAGAATAGACATGTTCAGAAATAGAATAATAGAACATAGAGAATATTTCAAAGCAGACGACAAAGTTCAAGAACAAGTGTGTACAAATGGACTTTGGTGATTGTTTCTTGATGTGCCAATGAAGTCAAGTAGAATTAATTTGAGTCGAGGTCTAAGTCACATGGGCACCAGTTTAGTCCCTCTTTTAGAGTTCGCTCAGGATCTGCTAGGTGTCACCGTTTCAGAATTACTTTATCTTTTAGGATGAATCTAGCATGGAATTACGCACTTGTCATATGAGTTCTTCCTTTAATAGAAGACTATTTCTTTCTGAATTGTCCAGTTATAACCGTCCAAGAATGATCGCCCAAAAAGTTTCTCCAGAATGATATGTAGTGCACAATGCAGATCATTTTAGCCCCTTTCTCTAGACATAGACGGTCTTACTTGTCACAACTTATATGTCAAAATTCAATTGATTTTCCCTAAAACATTTCTTAGTATGTAAGCTAGACACGAACCATTTTTTCTTTGCTACTTGACCGTTAACTTAATACTAGATAAAAGCTTATAGCTATCACTCTTCACTATAAGTATCTCTCACTCCAAACAATTTTCACTCGAGAAAAAAATCCATTTCACACAATCTTCACTTCAAGCCAGACTCTACAGACTTTTAAGCAACTATCGGACAATCGAAAGCAACATAGTTACCCTCATACATTACACATCTCTTAATTCCGGCCCCGAGCACCCCGAGCACCCCTCGCTAGCTCACATGCCTCAATCATCATACTTTGATTTCGAGAAAGCGAGCTTCACTCCCCCAGCACCTCCAACACACACCAGCGAAGCTTCTGAAACTCAATCAAGCACTCAAATTTCTTCAAGAATACAAACATCCATTACAACTGTCTCAAAAACTGTCTCAAAAACTGTCTCAAATTCTCCAAGAGAACTCCCACTGGAGCCTACCATCCCGGGATTTCCACTATATGATTGTTTTCCTCGAGAACTCAAATGCGAGGTCATGTACCAGGCTGCACTTGAAAGCACACCACGTATGATGCCAATCAATATCGAAACCAGACTACGTTCGCCAAGTACCAGACTACCCAGCGATCGCATCGACGCCTTCCTCCAAGCTGGCGGAAAGTGGAAGATGCAAAAAGGAGACTTCCAATACCTTACCATAACCCGTGGATACGGATGGCACGCGCTAGACGAGCTCATCCTGGAGCAATTCCAGTTTCGTCCAGATAAAGATGTCCTGTGGTTCTCTGAAGTATTTTTGGAAAACTATCAGAACATCAATATATATCCTTCTGACAGCGTGAAACGTTTGGTAATAAATCTCGAGAATTTCCGAGAGTTATTGACTCTTTACAAGGGCAACTTCTTGCTAGAGCCCCCCAAACACTCGACTCTGTTCATCGGTAAACTGAAAAAGCTGGAGCACATATACGTAGTTCCGGCTTGCAGTGCTATAAAAGAAATTCTCAGTGAGGGCCTTGTTCTTATGGAGGATCATAATGAGCTCGATACTTGTACTAGAGATATTCTGCTGAAATTGTGGTTTTCCTGGCTCGAGAAAGAGTCTGAGAATATTGGTTGGGATCCGCCGAGCATTTCTTTCAAAAGAATTCGCTGGACATGAATATTAGAAATTCGGATAGGGGGCTTTGCCATACAATATCTAGGATATAATGATGGATTTGTTGATGAATAGATAATAGGAGGAAAGAGATCTTGATATGATATCACAGATACCAAGCGAGAATATGTATCGAATATGTATACATTACTTAATGTATCACACCAGCGGATATAATTCAATAGTTAATATTTAATAATAATGATAATGATAATTATCACCATCCAAACGCCCACAGACACCTACCCAAGTATATATACAATGAGCATAGAACCAGCGTCGACAATTATAAATATCGAGCAAAGTGATCAAAGTAAAGACGCAACTTCCCTCAACATTCAAAGTGAAGACAAAAATAAAAACCATTCCCGCCCCGAAACTCCACCTCGTCGCTAAAGATATCCCACGATTACCTTACCAACACCCAGAAATTACATATAGTGTATACATAAAATCATACCCGGGAAAAATATCAATGATGCAATGTATCGAGAATTTTCAGAGTAATGGCTTGAATCTAAAGTAGCCTCTAGGTAAATCAGAGCTGTTTGGGTGCCACAGTGCGAGGCAGCTTTTGGTCGCATACTCGTCTCTGTCACTTGTTCAATTGCAACCTTCAAAACGTCACATTGTACCATCGACATTTATTACTTCAACACCAAAAACATGATTGAAAACATAGCACCCAAGAAAATAGTGTGTGATTCTTAACATCTGGAGTTTGGAGATTAAGTACCTCATGCTTATTAGAAGTGAAGGTCAAATTCTGGATTGATATGCACAGTCACTTGGAGCCACAAAATCATGCATACAATCTAAGTAATGAGGGGAAAAACTATTATTAATCTGCTCAATATTATCTTCACAGTATTGCTGATTGGACAACGCCATATCTGCAAGGTAATCACCACCAATGGGTATCACAAAACCCCCTGATACATGTATCCCTTCGCCTATCCTATGCGCAGACAGTTATACAAACGCCTTCGCATCAAAATCGTTCCATCCTAAGTATCCACCAATGCCAATTAAGTCTGCTAAAAATTCAAATTCTTAATCCAGTGTGCTGTTCGTCTTGTCGTACAATCATTTTTCCTCCCAAGCGCTTACCAACTTGGTCCTCTTCTTGGGTGGTCCGGACTTGGTACTGGAACTTTAGAAAAATTAGTAATTGAGAAGAATAAAAGGATGCGAGCTTCACTCGAAACTGTAGACGTGCCAGAGGGTCAAAAAATGTGGTGAAGAGGATCTGGAATGAGAGTGTGATATGAGTGAATACTTACTCGGAGTCTGACTTCGCTAGAGCCTGTTCTTTCATCCTCTGCTCAGCAGCAGCCAATGCCAATGGTCTCATTGCCTCTCTTCTCGCAGCTTGTTTAGCATACTTGGCTCGAGTTTGAGCCTCGTTGACAGGGCCGCCATGTACCAGATTGGTGAGGGCTGTCTCATTGGCTAAATTCTGGCTTCGAGTGCGACTGTGGGAATCGGGGTTATTGGGACAGTTTCTACCATGTGCTGCACCGCCGAGTCTAAGGATATTTTCCCAGTCGGCACCGCAAAGGTAGCACCAGGAGTTTCCACAACGACCTAAGTATTGATTATTAGTAGTGAGCCTGTATGAAGAGGTGTATCTATACATACATTCCATATGGTCACAACCATCGCTTCTCACAACGCATTCTTTGCATTTTGGGCAAATTCTAGAATCCTTTGCCAGCAGCTTAGCTGTGGCCTCTTCCTGCTCCAAACGTTCAATTTGCGAGTCATCGACATCAAATTCGTCGCATGACTGTCCTTGGTGCCATGGTAACTTGTGTTTGACACAAGTCTTGAATTTACAATGGTCACAAACCATCAATGGCTCCGGGCCTTCATGTATTTGACCTCCACCGCACTTGGGGCCTAAGCACATTACAAAGGTATCGGGTCTGGAAGCTATTTCTCTCAAGTAAGAGTAACTGTTCGACAATTAGCAATGAACACAAAGAACCAATAAGAGTTACCGACCGGATAACTACACCCAAAGATGCTTTGAAAAGAATATCGTGATCAGTGAGGATAGCACTACAAAGCGGACACTTAATACCGTTCAAAAATCCATACTCTATATCTGTGGTGATTGATAGATCGAGACATTCCCTGCAAAGTAAAGTATCTGGGTGTCGACAGTCACCCGTGATATTAGACCAGGTGTTCACTCTTAGGACATCCTCAGAACAAATAACACATTCCACTTTGTCAGGTAGATTGTGGGAATTATCATGTGCTTCGTCACTTCCTGATTCATCTTTGGTCTCTTCTTCTTCAACTTCTTCGTCGTCTTCGTCGTCTTCGGCTTCTTCATCGTCTTCATCGTCTTCATCGTCCTCGTCGTCGTCTTCACTATCCGTCTTATCTTCGCTCTCCTCAGTTTCCGAGCTTTCTTCATCATCTGTGCTGTTGGGCTCCATTCCAAATTGACCATTATCAGGTTCGGCGCCGAAGATGTAGTTGTCGCGTTCGGGATTGTCAGGATCTAGATAAAGAGTTCAATACAATTTTCAAGTAGGTATACACACAAAAGATATGATAGTATTAGAGGGCATGTAACTTACGCTGAGGGAAAAGGTCGAAGATATCCATTCCAGGGTGGCGTCTCAAGGCTCTTTCTCTATCTTCCCACTGCAACTCGTGACCAGAATTGACGGAAGCACCAGAATCGGAACTTGAATCATCATCAGAGCCCTCTTCTTCATCGGAATCCTCTTCTTTATCTTCGTCTGCTTCATCTTCTCCATCATCTCCGCTGGACTCTTCCGCAGGTGCAGTCACGGGATGAGTTGATGGGAAATCACCACCATTTTCGAACCATTCCTTGACTTTCTCAGAAACCTCTTCATCAAGACTTGTTTCAATAGTCTGGAGACGAAGAAAAATGGCAAGTCTATCACCCTGGTTTTCTGGGAGTTTTCCGTAGTGTTTTAAGACATGGCGCATCTTTCTTGCATCATGTTCTTTGAAATTGAGTCCGAAGACCTTACTTGACTGGTAGTCGAATGCCATTGTGAAAAGTGATTGCTTCTTTTAAATAATTCTGAGGAATTTGTTTCAGTTGAATTTCTCTGGATGTTCTTGATCTGGATAAGAATGTCCTTGATCAGAGAGATTGTTGAGAAGGTTGTTGTAAAATTGTTGTGTGATTGTGAGGATGTGAGGATGTGTTGAGAAGATTATAAGGAAGTCGAGAGACTCGAGACTGCCTAAAACTAAGGTACTGTAGTTAGGATAATTTAGTCCAATTTAGTCCAATTTAGTCCAATTTAGTACATTAATTAAGTTTAGGCTACCGCTCGGACTCCACCCCCTCATTCTCATACTATTTGACAGAAGTGAATCACATGATACATATAATTTACATTCATTGTTGGGTATGTCATTTTCATTCTCTTGTCTTAATTGGTATATATAAGTTACTCGCAGATTAAAAATGTATTGATTGGTTTTGAGTTTAAATTTGCTTTCAAAGTATCATTGTATGTTTCCACCACTTACTTTTTATCTTATTCCCCCCCCAATTTCCACAACTTGTTAGTTATTTGCACATGGATTTCTATTTCTTTCAATTTCTAGTGCTTTCACTGGACTACCAAAGTAGTTCTCAGGTCCCTCGGTCCCTCGGTCCCTCTTCCTTAAGAGAGATTTCAGCCATCAGTCAATCTTCAATATCAATACTGTCCAGCGTCGTGAATGATCATGATGTACTAGGTATCTCAATGGCTGGACTCACAGTGTTGTTTGTATTGGTTAATGACTCTCAGAGATCAACGAGTAATATTGATGTGGTATTCAACTGTCAAACACAAGCATAGTTCCTTGCCGTACATCTAGTCTTGGGTAGTATGGTAATGACTTTTGCATTTTCTCTTTGCTGGCAGACAAACTCAGCACCCGTACATCAATGACCACAAAGCAGGTGATATATTTCAGTTCTATCCAGCTTAGAGAACAACATGGTCTCTCTTCCTGCCCTTTTGTCAACAGCAATGGTGTACCTGTGGCTATTAACTAGAACCTTTGTGTGGCATAAATTTGGACACTTCTATATTGTCATAGTAGATAGCGAAGCTATCAAAGGAATTCCCTGGCTCTCCAAGACATCTGCTTCATGGTGTTCGCATTTAACTAATTCTTAGACAACTTGAAATAATCCACCACTAGGGACAAGTTTCGGCTCTCATACTATTGAAACCAGTGTTTTCGCTGATCATAATTCATATTCAATCTCCCTCAAAACCCTCCATTTTAATGGTATACAAAATGATGACTGATTTGCCTAGATACTCAATGCTGATTGAATTCCTGAGATACTAGCTACCTTCTGAGTAGCATAATTTTGGCAATGCATCGATGTACAATCTATGGTAGCATTCTTAGTGTAGTCATCGAAAGCTTCGAAAAAGCATAGAAAGACATGAAAATCTCTGAATGCTAAAACGGTGATTTGCAGGACCTCGGGAGTCAGGAAACTAATAAAATTCCAAGTAGTTTGACATTCGAGGCTCAACCCAAATATGTGGAACAAACAATCCAAATTTGTTCTACAACCAGACACCTGGCGTCGAAATAGCATGGTAAATCAGAGCTTCAGTATCACCACCAGTAATTCAATGGCAACTTACCAATTATAACTGATAAGTTCGTTCTGGAAGAAATTTGGCACATATCAAATCTATCAATTTTTAAAATTGGAGCAGGTCACAACTCTATCATTCAGTAAAAACATCAGACCTCTCATTTTCCCCTCGAATTGGGTACGAAAGAGGAGATATAGACACGTTACATACAATTGTATCTTTGAGTACCGTTAATTACTCAATCTCATTAATTTCGCGGCTTGGATTTGGCACGTGGATCGGCCATTGAAGTGGCGTGTTCAGATAGTTCTTCCAAGTGATGAGATCTCCTCAAGCTCAACTCCCTGCTAGGTACCACTGTTACGATTTCTTGCCTTGCTCTCTATGCCTTTCACAGTGTTTATGTATCTGCTGGAGCAAGATTAAAGGTCAATGTACCACTTGACTCTCATCTGAGAGGAACATGTATGAAAATCGAGCGTATTATTCTTTTAAGACACTTTCAGCAAGCAGAAAACTTTGACCCTTTGAGATTTTGTTAACCTTTCACAAAATGATCTCTGTACCACAAAATCTTACCTCATATGCAAACCAAGATCCCAGTGGAAATATATAAAGATTGGACGAAAGCCTTGTCAAAGAAGACGAGGAATCTCCTCCTAAAGACCCATGGTGCTGGGAAAGGCATAGAGGAATATGCAATACTTGAAGATCAGTTACTTTTCCCAGTAGCTATTTCTACTCCAACTTCCGTCAAATTGCTCGCACTTTACACTTATCCATTGTCCGGCAATGGTGATAATGTTCCTTGATACTGGTACTCATGACAAGAGAATTGATGTTCTTGGAAGTTTGGACGGGAAGTCAGTTCACTGCAATGAAAATCTCTGAAAGAAAGTCCTTGTTCGTAAATCTTGATGCTCAAGCGCCAAATGAATTCTTGTGATGTCAATGCAGTGCCGTGACCGGCTCGGCTCTTTTGCTCGAGTTCGTCCACACCCGGACGTTGTGCCGAGGTTTCGGATATCAACGGGCACTCATCCGCAGACGGTCTAACTCAGAGATTATGTAAGCATTATCTTTCGGAACGTCGAGACTTTTCAGTTCATCCCACTATCATGGAATGATCCCAATACCCTGAGCGGAAAAGGAAACTTATTGCTTCCAGTTCTCTTATCAACTATGGGCGTTCATCAAGTTCTCTTTGACTAGAAGGAACCAAAGATAAAATGGCACCTGAAGACGCGTGCTTAATTACGACGACTGAAGCCAATTCTTCGATTCCCTAGAAGCATTGCAAAACGACAATAGAGGGCGTACGAAAGCCTTCTTGACCTTGCAAATACCTCAGCTCAGATAATAGATATTGCCAATTTCCAAAGGTCTTTTGGTGAAGGATTCACCGCGTTCGATTCTCTACTAGTTTGTTGTCTTTTCGTTTGGGTCGTTTTGCAGACACCATTTCAAAACTACGATGACGACTCTTTCTATGTTCCAACACCACCAAAGAGTAAGGCTGTGTAAGACCTATATATGCAGCCAGCAGTAAGTTTTCTTCTACAAGAGATATCAAGACTTAAGCCAGCTATTACGTTTCTTCAAAGCGGACTTTCAAGAGCCCAGACTTACCGGCGTCATATCTCCACACTTCCAATCGCACGAATCATCTTTGACATCGGAATCATTATCCGCGAAGCATACTAGCCATGTTCATTCGTATAGGCTTTTTTGTGTTTCCAGACAGAAGCGTACGTATTATCACGTGAAATCGTGGGACTGTCCACTTCCCGCTCACTAGCTTAGCACAGAGGTCCGAGAGAGGCTAAACTAGAGCGCTGAATAGTGCTGGCGTCCCAAATATTACAAATGGCAATTTGTAAAAAATAGCATCTTCGCGACCCGACTTTATTCCTCGCGAAAACGAGGACCCAGATTTACTTTCAATATTGGATGCACAAAAATCCCTCGGTCCTGTCAGTCAGCCATATACAAACTTATTATGACGACATGATCCTCATCAACAACCTCTCCATTTCACAAACTTTGACATCTTATCCACATATTCTTAACTGCTGATAGATTTGTTTCATGCATATCGAAACCCGAAATCGATGGGCTTTTGACACGGAGATACTTTGCACAAGGCTGTATCACGATAAGAGGAATACCCCGCCTTCAGAAAGTTACCAAATGTTTCGATGTGGATAGCGATCCCATCTTCTCCGAATTTCGGTTTGTGAAGCTTACCCCTTTGCACAACGGGGTGACCGGAAGAATGGTTTCGTCATGGTCCACTTGAGGTGAAAATCTAGCTAGTGCATGCTTAGCCGATCTTTGGATTACGTTCCTGAACATCTCATGCCGCTGTCCGCAATTTGTCCGTTCGTTCATAGTTATTTATGGATCATTCATGGATGGTCTATGGAGACATTGTTCAATCAACAAATCGTTCAACCCATACTATGGGTCCCAGCCGAGGGGTGCATTTTATGGGGTGTTGAGCTTATGATAATAGACTTGTAGATCATGTCAAACTAAGTAAAGTGTATTGCATTTTTGTGAGAATCATCTTTCTCGGAAGAATGTCACTCGATGGGCTGCATATTGATCAACACTTTAGCTCATGAGAATACTGGTTTTCACAATGAATCGATGTTCGATACGCATTGATTCGGTTCTTTCGGTGAGCCATTTCTTGTATACTTCGTATGTAAACAAAAGTCGTTACAAACCAAATCTGCGTCATCGTTTTCTCTCGAGAATTAGTAGCTTGGAAAGATGCCGACGAGAAAGTATATAGACAGCAGTTGCTTCCTCCCAAAAAATTTCCCAGCCAACATCTTCCAGCTTATAACGACAATATCAACTTAATAACACAATAACTTCCACTCGTTAATATGAAGTATTCCGCATCAGCATCACTCGCTCTCGCCGTTGGCGCTTCAGCTGCTTCTATCAGAAGGGACACTTGCTCATATACCCTCACTTCATCGGGAGGTCAATCCGGTATCGTTGGTCAGTTGGATGATGGCCAACTCCGCATCCTTGGCAATCACCCTACTGCAGCCTTCACAATCAACAACGGTGAAACCACTGATTCCAAAGGCCGACCATGTTATTTAACATCAGAGGCTAACCAATACCAATGCGATACTGGTATGAGCGCCACAGGTGGTTTTGCTATCAGCGCAGATGGCACATACACTCAATCTGGATCATCGGTCTTCTATGCATGCCCATCTTCTGACAACGATTACAACATTTATACTGCTCCTGTTGCTGGTCAGGATAAGTGTGTAAAGATTGGATTGACTGCTAGTGGATGTTTCGCCCCATCTTCATCCTCTTCATCAGCAAAATTGAGCACATCCACATCCCAACAGGTTTCGTCCTCTACCTTAGTTCCATCAACAAAGGCCTCATTGTCTGCTACAGTTTCAGAATCTTCAAAGCCTTCAGTCGTTACTGCTACCACAACTCAACAACAGACATGTGCTGCTTCAACCGTTACTGTAGCTCAAACCGTTGTTGTCACCCAAACTCCATCTGCTAAGACCATTTATGTCACTTCGACTGCTCCCGGTCAGACTATTAAAGAGACTCAAACTCAACAGCAGACTGCACCAGCTCAAACTGTCGTGGTTACCCAGACTCAACAAGAATCATGTGCTGCTCCTTCTACAATCACGATCACCCAAGTTCAATCCGCTGCTGGCCAGACTGTCCATGAAACTCAGACTCAACAGGAGACTGCTCCCGCTCAAACTGTTGTGGTTACTCAAACTCAACAACAAACATGTGCTGCTCCTTCCACAGTCACTCTCACCCAAGTCCAATCTGCCGCTCCTTCTACAGTTACCGTTACTCAGGTGCAGAGTATGACTGCTGTTTCCACGAAACAAGTCACCGCCACCGAGTCTGTCAAAGCTTCCAGCGCCCCAGTCAGCACCTCCCAAGTTCAAGCCACTACCAGTGCCGTTTCGACACCAAAGGCTTCGTCTGCTAGCTCAATTGTCTCTTCGGCCACATCCAAGTCCTCGTCCACAGCTTCAGCTTCCAACTCTTGCCCTACTAACCTTGACGGCACCTACTCTTCCCCCAACCTAATCGTTCCCGTATCATCTGCATCCCCAGATAAAGCATACGGTACTTCTTACGATGGTGTTGTCAACAGCACTGTCTCTTCTCTCTTCAACTTCGACATTCCAGCTTCATACGCTTCCAAGACTTGCTCCCTCGTTTTCCTCTTCCCTACTCAAGATATGCTCGAGACTTCTTCTTATACCTTTTCCGGTTCCGGAGCCATTGATTTCAAGCAATTGAGCACCACTGTTACCACCAGCTCTACCTATAACTCTATCGGAAGCACTGCAACTGATTTCGGTAGCAAGGCCATCACACCTGGTTCCTGGACTGTTGTTAATACTTTCGCTTGTCCAGCTGGACAGTCTATCAGCTATGAGATGACTGCTGGTGGAAGTGACACTGATTTGTGGTGGTTTGAGGATTACAACCCATCCCCAATCGGTCTTTTCATCACTACTTGTTGAATTTTGGATCTGAAATGATCTGATATTATGAGCAAAGTTGAGATAAGTCGAGAAAATTTTTCGAGACATGAAAATAAATGAGATGAGAGATGAAATGCATAATGTTCGGAATCTTTCTTTTGTATGGCTCGCATTGGATGGTAAGGATCGGATACTTACACCCAGGTAGGGAATGCATTTTGGAGTCGGTGTAATGAGTTAGACATGAAAGGAATATGTCAGCATGAATGAAAGGCCCAACACCATCACATTCATTATGATATTTGAGTACGGTACACATTCTGTGCACGATTTGTATATATTTTTTCTTTAAGAACAGACATTAATAAATAGAATGATAATGAAAAGAAATGGTCATCAGCACTCAAAAAGGAAAAAGAATGAAGATCTTTGAAACATTGAGATGCATGAACTAAGGGTAAGAATGTTGTGACTTAATGAGCCAACTTGTCAAGAATAATAAGTTGCAATATTCCTCTCCAACTTTATAATAGTTTGGCATACAAGATCTGGAAATTCTAAATTCAAGTTCTACTCATGCAAAATTAAAGCGATAGGGTGATTGACCAAACTCGAAAATCGGAAAAATCATGATAGATTTGGCAATCCCCTCTTCCTAAGCACGAATTTCAAGATCTGAATGCCCATCCCTCATCGAAGGCCTCCAAAAGAGGACTTTCCAACACGTAAACCAATTTATCTACTCTCTCCTGCCCAATTTTCTGTTCCCATTTATTCCCCTGTTTCATCACCACCCCACAAGCCACAATATCACAACCAATCTTCTCCAACAAATCCCAAGCCGTCTTCAGTGTAGCACCGGAACTTACTGCGTCATCAATAATAATACATCGATTTCCTAAAACCAAAGGTAATTGATGCGGATCCAAATATACTTTCTTCAACCCCAGTTCTGGGGATGTAATGGATGATACTGAGGCGGAGAGCGCATCATCGTACCAAAATTTGCGGGAGTAGCCTAGGGGTACATATCTTTCTAATAACCATTAGTTCTATCCTTGATACATTTTTTAAGGAGTAATCTTGACATGTAACATACTTAAGCCCAAATTTCTAGCAACAAGCGGAGCCAGACTAAGACCCAAAGTGGGAAGCCCAATAATAACATCCGGCTCAAAACGACGCACGAGATCGGCAAGAAAATTGGAGAGGGTATCTACTACTTCCATGGAAGCTTGATTGACTAGAAGTGAGGCAACCGCATGCTTGGGATTATCTTTCAGCGGTCTGATTGGGAGAACCAGGAAACGTGAGTCGGGTAGTTTGGCTGGGAATCCATATCTATAGGGCGGGGTTTGCGGGGTGTGGTTGAATGGGAGGATGGTTTGCCAATATGTCGTTGTAGGTTCCGTGAAATGGGTTATAGGCGGAATAGCTTGTTTTGGGATATTACTCGACTCGCTGATAGTTGTCTGGGTGCTCTTTGGCTTTTTGGAAAGCTCTAGATTTTTCTTAGAATTCTTCTCATGAGCATTCTCACCAATAATTACATCGGCAGTAGACGCATCATCCACTTCGTAATTCTGTATATCTGTGGTGGGCTGAGACATTTTTCCTCGAGATATTACGTTGCAGGGAGGAGGTGAAGTTGATATGCAGGATGGTACAGGGTGGGGTTGCTGACTCATGCGGAGATTTGTTCGTACCTACAACAACTACCTCCTGGTAGTTGATGCGACGACTAGGTGGTATGAGGACGAGATGTTTAGGAACCTTTCTATCACGATGCCTATTTTGATAGCAGATTGAGAACAGTTCGTTTAATCTGCATCCAGACCCCTCGTTTTACAGATATTCTCCACAGCAATTCACGCGACAATCATCTTTAGTGAAGTCGTTATAGATTTCTTACATTACACAGTTCTTTGTATTTGCCAAGCTTTACTTGCTGTTGTTACTCCCTTATACTGCGGTCGCTAAGCTACGTAAGAATAATGAAGCAAATACCTAGGTAAGCTCTCTTACTTCTGGCCAATATGTGAAGCTTCTCCAGTTCTTACATGCCACGTTCCTGCACATATCGACAATCAATTTATGGTTAAAATTTCCGTTCTACGTAGTGGCTTGAATTGGTAGATTAAGGTTCAGCGTCATGAAACCGATGAGTTGATTGTAATTTTTGCTGCCTAGATTGTGGAAAGTCAGCCCGTTTCTTGGCGGTGGTAGATTTTCTGACACATGAAAGATTATGTCGGGGTAAATTTGCTCCATGGTATATATCATCTAAGAGTTTTGGGGGCTGTGTAATATTTTCGGGTAGGCATTGGTCGTTTGACGACCTGTAACGTTGCCAGGTGAAGTGGCCAAGAGCAATAGCATCAAGTGACAAGTAATGGCGTTGATATTCTTTGATAATAAGTGAGGAAAGGCTAATGCGATACTAGCGGGGCTTCTCTGGATATTCTGGATAATAAAGAAAAGTGCTTTGAAGTGTAAGAGGAGATAGGGTGCTCGTGTACTGCAGCAGGTTTGCTGTCAAGATATGCAGTTATGCTATATCAGACTTCAGCCTTCCAGCAATCCTGGTAAGCCATTTTCTGCAGAGCTCGGATAGCTGTGTCAACAGAGATGAGTGGGAATCATATTGAGCACCGCGTTATAAAGGCCATATATAATGTGGTGGACCCAGTTTACTTTGTTTAAGATAAGACGAAATCAGTTTGTTTAGAAAGAGCTCGAATCTTCACCATGTTTTCACACCCCAAGCACTTTTCCCCTCTCTGATCTTTTATACCGCCGCTCTAGGTAATCAAACGCCAGCATTCGATGATTTAGTTTCCTCGAAATTCCATTCTTCTACAAATAATAGTACTGCATTGGCGCCTCTTGATGGGCGTTCTTTGCTGAAGTCATGGCTAAGTCCAAGGGTGCTTATCTGTGAAGACCCTGGATATTGTCTATGCCCCAGTAAGCTATCTTCAATCTTGTTTTGGGGAAAATTCTAACAAATATCAAGGCAACGTAGGCTGTTGTCCAAGAGACGAAAACTGCTGTGGAAGTAGCTTCTGCGTCAAGCCTGGAGAGAGTTGTTGCCAAGGTTTCACATGCGAAGTTGGATGGAACTGCTGCACTTATCCTTATTGCTACCCGGATGGAGGTAATTGCTGTTCGGATGGAAGCTATTGCGCTGCTGGAAATATCTGTGTGAATGTAAGGGGTAGCATCAAATGTTGCACGGATTTAACATGTTCTGGACATGCTTCTGGTAGTGTAACTATCAGTACACCTAGTGCCACTACCGCCTCTACCGTCATTCCGTCGTCAATTTCAATAGCTCCAGAATCATCTGTTACCTTGACACCAATACCAGTATATGAGTATTATTATTACACAATCACATGGTTCGTTGATATCCCAAGCCATATCGGCATACATACCCACTAACAAACACTCAGGTATTACTGGAGCTACTACTATTACTACTACACCATTCATCTAGAACTCATTACATCTACCCGCTCAACTCAGATAACAACCACAACCACAATCTCCGTCTACGAAACTGACTCCGCAGCCGCTTCATCCAGCTTCAAACGACTTTCTGCCACCCTCTCATTCCCAACTCCTGCTGCTGCAACACTTCCCACACAAACTACACCAAGCTCGCCTACACAAACTGAAAAAACCACTTATCCTCACACTGAAGCCAGCATAGATACAGAATCTTCACGAGGGACTGGGCCAGCTTCTTATAGCGTCTCTAGCACACCTTCTACAACCACTCGTTCTGTGACTTCGGGATCGAGCAGTTCGTCAACGGCTACTTCAACGCCGGTGGTGGTTACAGTTAGTGGTGCCTCTGGAGCGAGAATGAATGGGCACTTTTGGTCCGTTACCTGTTTCATGATTTTTGGTGCTTGTGTTGTTGCGTTGTGGTTACTTTGAGTTGGAGAGATTTATTTTCATTAGGTTTGTGATCTTGTACAGGATACCGGAGAGTGTTCGCTATTTTATTTGATGAAACACAGTTTTAATTTGAATTATATGTCGTTGTTATTCGCTCTGGATCTTAATCTGTTCATCTTTAATCCTAAAAAGGGATTACCTATGATACATACCTATGTCTAAGATATTCAGGAAAAACCATCTGTATATCTACACACTGGTAATGATTTGCTACTTTCTATTACCTCCCTGACTATTTCAGAAGATAGTATCCAATAACTTCCGTTTGATCATCCTGAGGTTACTGACAGAATATAAATTCAGGGTTTAAGGTTATTCAAATGAATACAGTACAGCACATCAGTCCTCAGGTTATCATGTTATATCCTCACTTCTTATCTCAAAAATCTAGAGCGAGACCCGAGATACTACATTTTAAATAGATGACCCACTATCAGAGAGAGAAGGTGATTTTCCATTCTAATCTTCTGTTTTTCCATCTGCTACTTCCCCAGTTAAAATTCCATTCATATATGCCAAAATATTAGAGAACATTATTTTATTGGTCGATATACACAAATTGAGTGTACCTAGAAGTAAAAATGGGGAAGAAACATGTAGTTTCTTTGTTTCAAGGCATTTTATATCCATTCCAATCTAGAACTCGAAGTCTCTTTAGGTCTGAGAGATCAAGAAGATTCTCGAACTCAAGTTTATATCTATTCATACATATATATCAAGACATAAGAAAGGCGCCACATCTGACATACGATGACGGATATTGAGGTGAAGTGCTACAGGTAGATTTGAATGTTGACACTTATCAAAAAGTTAGATTCAAATTCAGCGCATTCATGGCGAAATCAAACGAAAGAATACACCATGCGTGAATGCAGACATTTTTCGTTCTCCTAAAAATCATAGCAGCAAAAAGCTTGTTTCCGAACTTTGAACTGAATCATAAAGTTCAGATCTTAAACTTCAAAATTTGGATGGACTAGCCAAGCCGCTTCCTCTCGAGCGTTCAGGATAGTGAATTCCAGCTCTTTCTTGAACCAGTGCGTGATGAATAAGATGACGATTCTGCTATTCTGATGCTATTACCAACTAAACTGCTGTATACTAAGTCTGCGATCCGGTTGTCGTGAATCAACCGTATATATTGATACGGCAGAAGACATGTCGCATTCAATACTGTCGTACCATGACATCACATCAAGCGATACTTAAGAACGCATCCTTTCGTCCAAATGATTGAACAACAAACAACATCTGTCATACATTACAATTCAACTTATTAGTGTACTCAAGTCAAATAATAGACTGGTTTCCGTATCGTCCGCAACTTTGAAGGTCTTTTACTAAAGATTTCAAATACCACTGCAAAGCTTTGTGTAGTCTACTAATAAGAGTATTGTCGAACCTTTGAAAGAATGGCTTCCAACCCAGAAGAACCCCCCGACGATGTTCCAGAGAACAGTCGCCCGTTGGCAGCGTCTACATCAACCCGCGCAAGAGCTATGCCAAGCATGCATGAGCTATCGGGCACCGAGAGAAGTTTCAGGACAAGAGATCCCACGACTCGCATTGCGGATGAACACCCGCTGTCTTTAATCCTTCCTATAGTGCGCAATGGGCCATATAGAAATCGGACAATGAATACCACGACGGTTGACGGATCTGGATTAACACGCCCCAGCTATGCAGATCTTGGTGCCAGAAATGTTGACCGAACTCGGCGTCTTAGTAATCGAGCTGAGCCTTACGTCTTAAATTTTCAAAGTGACAGACGTCATGCCTCGCGTACGCGTCTCTTGGACAATCTCAATGAGACAGCCTCTGATGCACACCCTACAGTTGGCGCCATGTACGCCTCACGTGCACGACGCATGATGGACAGTAATGGGAGGGATCCTGATCGAGACTATACTCCGACACTATATGATCCTTTGCCGGCTACAGCCAGAAACTATCCCAATACCTCGAATCCCAGCTCAGTCTATGTTCCGAAAAGATACAGGCCTTTCCCGCTGGTAACAGCCAGAGATGCGCCAGATACCGGTCAAGTCTACACTCCGAGAAGAGAAATTTATCGCCCGCATGTAAGAGCCACAAGCTCTATCAACATCGCAGATACTATTACATTCTCAGCTCGAATCAGTGAGCAAGCACAAATACCTCGTGAATTCAGCGCATCACAGGTTCCCGAGGCCAACAGCGAACAAGCACGAGCAACTCCCGAAGTCAACTCACCACAGCTTCCCGAAGCATCAACCGCCGTCGGTACAAGCGAATGTCCCATTTGTCTTTCTCCCTTCCCTGCTCCTCCCAATGCCGTCCTCGTACACCCATGCAACCACGGATTCTGTCTTGTATGTATCCAGACCTGGATCCAAACCCAACGACAAAGACCCGATGTCCGACCAGTAAACTGTCCCTTCTGTCGAGGTCCCATTAACAGAATCATTGACCGGGAAGGAAATATTGTTGAATATCAAAGAAACAACGTCCCAGGTGTCATTCAAGAAGGTCGGGAAAGGTTGAGAAGAATGCTTGGAGGTGCAGTTGCAAATATTGCTGATTCAAGGCCAAGAGCTTCGCGTACAATAGATCGTGTAAATGCGTTTGATGAGCTGAGGAGAACATTGAATAGGGTGGGACCTGCGGGAAATATTAGTGAGCAAGTTACAATCGTACGAGAAAGATTGGATGATGCAGATGCGGATTCCAGCCCTCCAGCAAACGCGCCTGAGTGGACTAACGGTGCTTACGGCTGGTGGGTCTGAGATGTAGCTTGCATTGACCAAGGAGTATGGAGATATGGGGGGGAGAAGGTTCTGAAGGTCGAATAAAGGAGCATATGAGGAAGAGGACGCATTGTATTCTGGATGTAGGGGATTTAGAATTCGAGTGCAAGCTCACCATGTCACAGTGATATGACATATTGCTCAGATTAATCTGAAGTCATGGCCGAGGGCATATATATTTAATATCTAATAATGTAAATCAATTGCAATGGTGAAAGATGTGCAACACTCTGCACTTCCAACAACGTGGAAACCTGACCTTTGAACTTCTCGCTTTTAAAGTTGGCCATTGATTTCTCTTATCCGTAAATTTTGGGCTCCTAAAAACATTAAAAACAGCCAGCAGGAATATGGATACCCACAAGGAATCTTGACTTGTCGATCAACTTTCACGAAACTTTTTCGTGGTTCTTGTGAAGGACCTTCCTCCATCACAATTACCCGTTTCCTTGTTGTTTACCTGGCTCGACTTCAATCTAGACTGCGCCAATGATCAACTTCTTGCTCGCCTACTAAGATCTCAATGGAAATTGCATCTAGAATATTTGAAGCGGTAACAGCGATGAACATCAAAACAAGAACGACACGAAGGAAACTAAAGATTTGCAAACCACTTGTCTGACCTTTTCTTGAAGCGAAACTAAATGAAACCCCTCCTTCATCTGTTATATCACAGCCTGATCATCCAGATTTACTCATCGATTTTACATGCGAGCTTTTGACTTGCGGTAAACTCCCAGGAGTGTGGCACCTATAAACGAGCCCATCAGCAACTCATTCAACAATCTCGACCAACAACAAAACTCGAGACACCTGAAAACAAAGATTCTAGCTACGACCAGGTCTGATATTCTGAGGCCAAAAAACCCGCCACGTGTCTGAATGACGGCATCAAAATTTGTCGATATGAGCGATAGCGAGCTTCTAGAGCATGATCTTTGCACCAATAATTCCACACCTTTGCAGAGGATCAGACGACAGTTGTCAGGTAAAGGGAAGCTGACTACTGCAATGACGGTTGCTGAACTTTGTGCCTTCATCGACTTCTTGCAAGGTCCGATGATAAATCCTTCAATCTTTATATCTTGCGGTAGATACCTTCCCCTATTATTCTTCAAGCTCCGCTGCGGATGTGATCCTCGGTGTGTGAAGTGCTTTCGGGAATTCATTCACCGGGAATCTTTGACCACAACTGGTAAATTTCGGTGTTTCAAAGCATGGTCATAAAATCTTCTTGATATCTGATCTCGACGAGCAATATCGAGCCCAGCGCTCTTCGGACTATGAGAGCTGCAACTGTTAGGAGCATTTCAACACGCATCTGGATGTGAAGGGGACAAGCAGAAGCATTGGCGAATTGAGGAACGAAAGAAACTTCAAGATTTCCGCAGACGGCGTGAAATCTCAGTCCGGAGAAAAACGGTGTTTTATTTATGGCAAGAAGGGATATGCTTCAAGCCTTTGTTTAGGTATTATAAAGCAAAGCTTAATTGATAGGGGAGTGTGGGGCCATTGAACTACTTTAATGATTCCTAGACCTTTGAGAAAAGTAACTGGCACAGCCATCATACAGGTAACGAATGAGAGTTCTCGTTCACCTATTTCCCGATTCTACATTCATGGCGTGAACGCTGATGCCTTGTGAATACCCAACGCACTCGTGACGATTCAAAAAGGAAGAATCTAGAAGCCGCTGAAAACGAGGAGCCGAGTGGTAACTAAAACTGACTTTTCTAGGTTACCAGTCGAAGAGAGAGAGCTTCCATTCCACCACTTTTTCACATAATATGTGATCTGATTCTAGGTCGTCCCCGCAACGCCAAGAAGAAGTTGCCCTGGCGCATGAAATACCAAGAAGGCTAAATGCTACTGGATCACAATTTTCAAGACCGGCAATTCCAATAAACAATGTGCAAGAGGATTCTAAACCAAGTGAAGTACCAGCTCACCCCCTTTCCCCCTTCAATCAAGAGTACAAGATGGGTTTCTTTGAGAGGTACACGTATTGCAGTGCCATAGAAATCAAGTTTCTTTGGAAGACTTCAAAGAACATAGCACATAGTACATAATATCTGAAAGATGCATAGCTGTATGTATCCAGATCTTCATCATGTTATCTTCAAGTAATAGACCTTGAAATGATGAGATATGAGATGTTTGTAATCGGAGACAACCACTGGTGAACCTCGGCATATCTTGAATGTCTTGGAGAACAAGTGATTGTAATTAGCATTCCACGAGGTGCAGTTAGAACCATCTGCGAAGTCGCAATTTGCGCACCGGGTGCGTCTATAATAAGAAGGTGTTTGAGCTTATCATCTCACGGCTGTACCTTTTCTAGTGGGGCTCGGGAACAACCGAGAACACTTTCCTATGAAGTTGATCCCTTTATTGATATTTTTGATATTTGACCGAATACAATCATCCGATAATATAATTTACATAGGCAGATACTATATCCGGCTCTTATACCCGTGGTAACCGCCTCGCATTTCCTTCGTCTTCCCCTTTATCTACCGAGTTCGAAAAAGTAGCAGGAGAGCTACTTCAACTATACACGTTTTGTTCCTGTTTTGTAGGATTGGCCAGCAAGGTATTGTATATTGATGGATGATCACATAATCACATCTTATCGACCTCGTACTGCGCATATTGTACCAAGAAAGCATACTAAGATTTCCAGGTGATTGGCACAAATTATATTTTCACTGTGAAAAGACCAAGCAACGATACTTTTACGTCAAGTTTACAGTTGAACTTACCGTCAAAATACCCTCGGCTAGGATCTATCCCAAAACGCCACAACCTACATGACAATAAGATCATTTTGATCATGTACCTGCTTTTCGTCGAAGCTTTTCAATCTATTTCTTTGACAGAATGAGAAGCATACATGAACTGGCCTTAATAAGAGATTTGCGGTCAGCTCAAATACATGGATCATGCCCACCTTTCTGGATGTCAGCTACTATGGAAATGCCCACCTTTCTGGATGTCAGCTACTATGGAAATGCCCACCTTTCTGGATGTCAGCTACTATGGAAATGTCCGTGCAATCCGAAAGCTCCGTTGACTTTGGACCCTCTGTTTATTTCTGAACCTCAATTGCAATTTGCAATTGTAGGCTGACTTTCATTTCTGTATCGACGACGAGTATGTAATTTGAAATGTCTCGGGAATCGAAAGGCATGTGTAGGGAAATACACAAGCCTTTTACCCTTAAACAGTGGCCCAATTGAACATCCAGATATCCACAGAGTTTTCGGAAACTTAGCATGTCCTTACTTTCCTGAGATTTCTAATCGTTAACCTTTTGTGGCAAACGCTTGCGCGGCGCTCATAGCAATAGCGACGACGAGCATATGATCCTTAGTAGGGTCAATGTAAGCACTTGGGCAAGTACCGACAAACTGGTAACCTATACAAGTCTTCACACTCCTGAGCGGTGGACAGGAAAAAATATTGGAATTTTATCATCCATCACTCGTTGTACAATTTTCTTCCCGCCATGGCAATTATTTCGATATGTAGTGCATAGGAACATTTCCGATGGGAGTGCCTGGATAGAAGTGTATGGACTTTCAATCTAATCCTCTAATCTCGGAGGTGCGGTCGGTTCGGGCTGGTCGATGCTTGGGTGCTCATTTTAAGCAATCTAGTCCGCAGGTTATCAACGGCGTCCGTTGCGCTACTGATAAACGTAGTGGAGAATTTTCCGTTGAGAGGGGGGGCTATCCGACTTTCATGCACCAATCATCTTGCCATATGTAGGGGTAATTTTCCGGGGCAAATATCATTCATTTCTTGGCGCAGATGGCGATTTTGTTCTTTTTGTAAAAATATAAATACATTGATACCCTAAGAAGGCTGATCACTTCAGTCGCATTCTCCAATCTTGAATTAACGCACATTGAAGTCAGGCTTTCCTCAAAGAACATTTCAATCATGCGTTCCTTTGCCCTCCTCTCCTTTGCAGCTTCTTTGCTCGGAAGCGTCTCTGCCAGCCCTGCTTTAGTAAACCGCGCTGTTGCATTCAACCGAACTGTTGCTCCAGCCGGTGCAATTGTCGTTGATCAAACTGGTACAATTGCCGGCTCCTACACCACATTCCAAGCGGGTGTCAACGCACTATCCGCCACCACAACCGAAGCTCAATACATTTTCGTAGCTCCCGGTGTCTACTTCGAGCAAGTGTATCTCCCACAAATCGCATCTAACCTTACCATCCAAGGTTATACCAACGATTTCCGCGCGTACTACTACAATGAGGCTACGCTCACCTACAACCTCGCCCTCATCAACACCACCTCAGATGATTTAACCGCCACGTTCCGTGCCCACAACACCAACACCAAGGTGTACAACATGGTCATCAAGAACACATTCGGTCACATCAACTCCAATGGACAGAACCTTGCTCTCTCCTCCTACGCCTCCAACGTCGGTTACTATGCTACCCAATTCTGGGGATACCAAGACACCGTTCTCGCCGAGGCCGGTTACCAGCTCTACGCCAAGTGCTTGATCGTCGGAGCTATCGATTTCATCTTCGGCGAGAAAGCTCTCGCCTGGTTTGAAAACAACGATATCCGCACTATCGCCAATGGAGCCATTACCGCTTCAGGTCGCACCAGCGCCGCGGTTGACTCCTGGTATGTGATCAACAACTCCAACATTGCCAATCTCAACAACAATCTCACTCCATACAACAACTATCTCGGACGACCATGGAGAGATTACGCACGTGTTGTTTTCCAAAACAGTTTCTTGGGTGACAACATCAAGGCGGCCGGATGGCAAGAGTGGAGTACCTCGACTCCAAACACTGACGGAGTTACTTTCGGAGAGTGAGTAACCCCATGCTAATATAAATTTCCAAACCTTGAACCCTCAACTAACAATCCCCCCAGATACAACAACTACGGACCTGGAAGCGTTCTCGAAGAAGGCCCTCGCGCAAACTTCAGCTCCCAATTAACCGCTCCCATCGACATCACCACCGTCTTGGGCCCATCCTACACTAGCGAGTTCTACTACGATGCTAGTTACATGTAAAGAATCATCGAGTGTGGATTGTGGAATTTCTAATATATAATTTTTATTGAAGAGGAGAGAGGATATAGGAGAGTTTGTAAATATAATGTCCGATGTATAACTATATGTAATGAGAATTGAACGGTCTAACCTTCACACGCTATCCTTACTTCCGCGGACCCTTAAATCTACTGTGCTTTTGTTTGAGTGTGATTATTGTGAGGGTTGGATAGATGTTGCAATTCAAGAATCTTCGAAATATTCCACGGGCATTTACAATAGTTTTCACTTCTTTCTCTTGTGGTGGTATTGTATTCAAGGTGAATCTTATTAGCTCTAAGTTTATCCTAACAGTCTACTTCATGATAGCTCATTACAATCCTACACAATGACAATATACCCAACAGCCCTCGATATATCACGCAATACCCATACTTCTTGTAATGAACGACGAGTTATATATCAATAATACAGTCAGGACTCATAATGACATCCCATATCCCATCCCATCCTACAACTTCCCCATATTTCGCAAAGCCAGCATTTATGAATGAAAAACGTGCGAATATGTCTAGCTACCTACTTTAAACATACATCTGCATGCATGCATCCATCTCCCCTCCTCTACCCTCCTCTTGGCCTTCCCCTTTCTCTTCTCCTAATTCCGCACCTCCTCTCCCCAGAGCCTCAACCCCATCAAACCCTCCACTAGAAATCCAATCCCTAACTCCTAATTCTACTCCCCACTCCCCGTCCCGCTTACCTCAAACCATCCAACCCATCCAACCCAGTCCAAATCGCATCAAGTAAACTCCAAAGCCCAACACCCTATCACAACCGCCAATCACAGTCCACTCCACCTTCCTCATCCAAACCAACCTACCAACCACACTATCCCCATTCCCATCCCCGCTTCCACAAATACACCAACAAAACTTAAATCCCGCCTCTCCTTCATCTTAATCTCTATCTCGATCTGGTTCCTAAATCTCATGTACTATTTTTCTTTTTAAATCATATCTTCAGAGCTCATTCCAGATCTTATTCCCATCCCACCCAATATACAAATACACAAACACATAAGCATACCAGCATACCATCATACCGCCAAAGCGCTATATCCCCTCCTCCTCCCATTGCATATTTAACAAAACCTGAATACACACCCTACTCAAATTCCCTCCTCAAGTCTCACCCCCATCCCGCACATCACACAACCCCCTCCTCCTCGCGTCCCCTCCTTCCCTCCTCCCCAGATGTCTCAACAAGCTCACCTAGACAGCTATTACCACATGCAATACCATATACCATACACCATACCATAACCCAATAATCCAAGTAACCCAAGTAACCCTAACCCTAAGATATAAACAACCTAACCTAACCTCACCTAAACTGAGCTAAGCTAAGCTGCTATCTCATTACCATCTCATATGTTATAATATCAATATGAGATATACCATGAGATATACCATGAGATATCATTAACACGATGTGATGGTATACTCCGTTGTGATACTCGATTAGAATACTCCATAAATATACTTTATTATGATATACAATCATCCCTCCAGAGCAAATTGCACCAACCAAAACAAAACAGAACGAAACCCAATCCCAATAAACCCCAATAAACTAACTAATCGACACACACGGAATGATATGGAAAGAGATTCTATAAGGATATGGTACTGTATATATGATATGGCATGATATCATATAGAATATAGTTCCCTTAAATATTTCTCCTTACTTCCTTTCACCTTCCGCCTACTCCCTTATTCTTGCCTCTTGGCCCTACTCCCCCCCCCCCCCCTTTTTCCAAACCCCATCTCCATCTCTTATTCCTCCCTTCACTTCCAACCCTCCAAACCTCCCCTCAAATCACACCATTTTCCACCCCTCTAAACCTCACTTCCCTCACTTCCCTCCACTCTTCGAATCCCTCCCTCACCTCCAACTCCTCACCTCCCCTCCTCACTTCCCTCCTCATCGTCCCCTCTTCCCTCTCCTCCCTCCTCTCCCTCTCTCCCCTCTCTCCTCCCCCTCTCTTCCTCCCTCTCCTCCCTCTCTCCTACCCCCCCTCTCTCCCTCTCCTCCCTCTCTCCCCTCTCCTCCCTCTCTCCCTCTCCTCTCCTCTCCTCCCTCTCCTCTCTCCCTCTCTCCCTCTCTCCCTCTCTCCCTCTCTCCCTCTCTCCTCTCTCCCTCTCTCCTCTCTCCCTCTCTCCCTCTCTCCCTCTCTCCCTCTCCCTCTCTCTTTCTCTCTTTCTCTTCAAGACCCTCTCCAAAATCCTCTAATCCTCCACCCAAGCACTCAAGTTCCCATACTCAGAGTACCTTTATCGATCAACTCTACTAATTACTAACCATCCCCTACTCACTTACTACTCACTAGGTACTTACTTACAAATCCTAACACCACAATCATCAGTCTTTCTGAAATCTAAGGTACTCTCTCTTCACACACGATCACATCTATTGAGATCGGGAATCATATGCAACAATTATCAGCTCATCACATAACAACTCAAATCACACCTTACCTCACATTTCAAATCCAACATAGATAAAACAGATAAAGACGTATCTTATTATATTCTTCATACATCATGTCCATATCCATATCTACCTCTCTTCATCTCCCTCATCCATCCATCCAATTCCCAAACCAATGAATACCAATCCATCCCTCATATAAAGTAGAAAAATTTCATTATCTATGTACAGTATCGCCCACGATCCTATCCCATCCCATTCCAACCTGTCCCATTTCATCGCAAAAGATATCCGGATAAGTTCATTTCAACTCAACTCATCTCATCTGAAATGCCAAGAAAATATCCCTCTCCCCCTTCCAAAAACGCCTTGTAGTATGGAAATTCCACTTTGCCAAAAAGGTTCAAAAAAGAGATTACTCCACCAAAATGTTCGCCATTCAATAGTATTGCATACGATATTCATCCTGCAATTCGCATTCTTTTCAACAAGCCCATCAAATTCCACTAAATTCCCATCATGAACCACAAACAAATTTCAATCCACGCATGCAGACACACGCACACATTCATCATGAAACTGTCTTTCCTCCACAATCAGGAATTTTCACTCCATCCTTCAACACTCTATTCACATCCATGATACCCCAGTGATCTTCCCAATTTTGATTTCCTGAATTATATTGAATCTTCCAAGGTTCATCAAATGCTTCGAACCAAAAGTAATTCGTTCCATTTGTAATTGCATCGCAGACCCAGTTCTCCATGAATGTGTTTAGTTCCGTGATTCCTGCCACACTACCTTGAGCACAAGTAGTAGCAGCACCACAATCAGTACCACCTTGTGTAGGCCATCCAGTTTCTGAGATGATGTTTTGGGATGCATTGGTCTTGAAGGCCACATCATGATTTTGCCAAAAGTCCCATGTCCAAGCAGCACTTTCCTCAGCCGTAACGCCAGCGAAGAAGGGATGAATATTAGCCATTACATAGTCGACTGCGTTAGCGAGCTCTGCGGTCCAGTTATCTCCAAGGTCTGAAGAAGCGATCGGGAGATCGATACCACGAGTTGTCATGTTAGATTTGACATCTTGGATAATAGATGTGAGCTGGGAGGCAGTCATATCTTCTCTATAGAGAACCTCATTACCAACAATAACACCAACAAAAGATGCGGATCCATGTTCATCAAAGATCTTGTAGAGCTGTTCGAGTTGACGAGTATTAGTAGTAGTATTTGAATCCTGCCAAACACCCAACCAGACTTTAACGGTACCATTCAATCCTAATCGATCAATAGCATGTAAAACCATCTCCGTTTGATTACAATCAGTACCATAGAGACGAAGGGTGTTGCTGAGTTGCGAAAGCACAGCCACATCTCTTGTAATGTTGTTCTGACTTGCTGGGTATGACAAGCAAGCTGGGTACTGTGTGTACATTGGTGTATAATCGATTCCGGGAAAGACCTTGTGCAAGTCGGGATTGTTCAACAACTTTTGGATCTCTGCTGAATCCTTGTTAAGATCGCCATTTTTGGAAGTATCTGACGATGCAGATTGTCCGTTGTTGACCCCATTCTGAGAGACTCCTGAATCCGATCCCCCTTTCGCGTTGCCCGCCAGTGTACCACCGACAGCACCTCCAATCACTGCCGCTAAAATTAAAAACCCAACCAGTAAAGCAATCCATAGCCTCAACTTTTTGTTACCCCCCGGTGGTTTCTTCAACCATTCGTTTTTTTCCACACTTAGATCGTAAGTGTCCGTCCCATTATATCCGTTTGGTGCATTTGTAACATCATTGTATTGTATATTTTCCCCATTCGCATTCGCATTCTTCTTTCCAACAAGACCACCCAAGGCTCCCACAACACCGCCCGCTGCTATAGCTTTTCCACCCGGTGGTGTTCGTGATCCGCTATCTGACATCTTATTTAAACTCAAGACAGAAGATCTATTAACTCGTCTATATCCCAAACCGTCGTCTCCGTCGTCTGCAATTGTACTCGGGTCAAATTCAACCAGTTCTGGGTCAATTGCCCTTGAATATCGATTATATGGGTAAGGAGAATCCGTGTAAGGGTCTGAAGGAGGATTTCGACCAGAGATAGTCGAACGTGAAGAGGGAGTTGACATTCCGGTGGGGAAAGCAGCAGCATTTAAAGGAGTCAGAGATGATGTTGATGCATCTTGTCGTGGAAACGGGCGTTGGAATGGAGACTCTTGGTATGAAGGTTGTGTTGGATCATATCCCGGGGTAGGTCTTGTGGCTTCCACGCCACTTTCCCTGGCATTTGAATTTGCGACACTCATAGCAACGCCGTTTCTACCACCCGCAGCTTGATCACTAAAATTATCTGCTCCCGATGTAACGTTTGTGTTATTGTTTTGATTGCGTATTCTAGATTCCTGACTGGATTGTGACGATCGATGTGGTGGAGGAATTGGTGGACTATCTATCATCGGACTCACAGGTTCCACTTCCCCATAGTTTTCTCGTGAATGTAATAATGAAGCAGAATTTGACATTCCAATCTGTTGGTTATATGATTCTTGAGCTTGTGATGAATGTGATTGTGAGGCGAAGTTTAAAGGATTACGCGGTTGCGATTGAGGTGGTGGTGGTGGTGGTGGTGGTAGAGGATATCTTGGTGGAGATGTTGGTGGAGATACGAGCGAAGAAGAATCTTGAGAATTAAGATGGATATCTTCGAAAGAATATCGTGACATTATGAGGAAAGAAAGAAAAGAAAGAAGAGGAGAAGAGGAGAGACCGGGAAGATGAGAGTATCTTGAAACCGAAGTGTAGCTCTTTTTCGTTTCGGACGATCTTTTACTCTATTCCAACTAATAATAATAGTAGGTACTCATAGATTGATAGGAATCCCACTTGTTTTTGGGGGGGGGGGGGGGCAGTGGTCGACGGTCGAATAGGATTCTGCACTGGCTCTGGGTCGAATTCTGGGAATGGGAATGGTAATGGAATGGTATTTTGGAGTTTTTGATTTAATATGTGGGATCGTGGGACAACTTGGTTTTTTTTGGTGGATGGTATAAAAGGTACTAAGAGGTGTTTTGATGTATTTCTTCGATTCTTTGATTCTTATCGATCAAATGTGAAAGCGCAAAGCAAGGATAGAGGAAACTTTATTTATCGAGAATGGAGGGCGATACGAAACGATGGGATAATAATACGAGAATGTGGAAGTTATGAATGCGAGAGAGGAGGGAGAGAGAATATTCCAATCCTCAATCGATACCTTCTTCAACGGCGCGGTACAATAATAACACCTCCTTTCCAACTTCAAACTAAAAAAGGCAACCAACCAAGAAAAGAACAAAAAAGCGAAACAGGAACAGGAACAGGAACAAAAACAAAAATAAACAATCCACTTCCCAATAATCATGAGGCTGTATTTTATATAACTACCATTAACAACAATACAGACTTTCCATCTTTCCATCTTTCCATCTTTCCATCTTTCCATCTTTCCCGCATCATACTTCCTCTCCTCCAATAGAATCGATGCCTCCACTCCTTCAACTTAAACAAAAACCACCGACCAACACGAGCTTCCCTCCCTCTTTCCCACCAAATTCATTCCCTACCTAGTACCAACCTCCAACCTCCAGCCTCCAGACCCAACTTTTCCACGTTCTCTCCCATCTCTCCCATAATTGGCTAGAAGCCGCGTGTGTGTACTGTACGAGGCTGGTAACTTAACTTATCAGCACAGTGCACACTGCAGTGCAAGTTAAAAGAAGAAAGAGACGAAGCTAGAGTGGAGTATCTGAGTATCTGAGTACTCGGTACCTTTTGAAAGATAGCCAAATACAAAGTATAACAGGGAACGGAACTTCTTCAACTAAGTCTTCCCTACAATCCTCCAATCCTTCCGCCCCCATCAACGCTGTAGGTATGTCTATCTATCTATCGACTTGTAATCGATTAACCTTCTTTGGTTGGTTGACTGAGAGATCCATTCCATCATGATCCAAGCACACAATCTAGGTACTCACTAAGAGTTACATTTTTAGATGCCAGACCACCTAGTCGACACTAGCGAGGAACAAATCCGGATGTAGGTAGGCAGGTATCTACTATCTCGGTATTTCTAAAGACATAACGTTACTCAAATCTAGACAACAGATTCTAATTACAGCTACCGAAAGACGATATACATATATGACATTCCATCTATTCAACAAAATGAAAGATTTAAACTATGTGCATCCCACTCACTCTCTTCACACCCCAAACAACCTACTCATCGATCGATAGATATACTTTTACAATCTCCCCCCAAGAGCTCTACCACCCCCCAACCACATAATCCATACCCACCACAAAACAAGCTCGGAAGCAAGTCACCCAGCCACTCTCAGCATCAGGGGTATACATCGTAGTATACACCACATTATTACCTAGTCTCACAATCCCATTGCATGCTAGATACCACTTCGGCTTCGTAGATACCCAGGTAGTGGATCCCGCCGAACCGAACAAGCCAATCCACATCGACATCAAAAGCAAGCAAGTAAAAGAAAAGGAAGAAAAACCTTGGTTTTACTGACCTTGCCTACGCCGTATTTCCTTATCCCTCGCAAAAAATAAATTAAAAATGATGACATTTGTTTCAGAGGTGTGAGAGGTGAATGATATATTTTGTGTACTTTGTACGATGTATTGTTATATTGTTATATTGTTATATTGTGAGATAGTCGGTGGGTATGTTTATTATACATATATATATACGTGACATATCTTCATTCTATATCTAGATATATATACACATATATATCCATTTGACAAGCCGTCGCGATCTGAGTACTTATTTATACAAAGTCAAACATGCATTTGACATATGCAGAGGTACGTACATATTTATGGAGATACATACCTACCATATCAAGATAGCACGTGGTGATAG